AACTACTTGCCACGTTAACTGGGTCACAATATCTTGGATTAGTTATAACTTACAGCTGTTGTAATACATAACACATCCGTCGGTTTGCATGCTTTTATAAAATTATGACATATGTCTACCTACCCGTATTGCCCACAGCAAGTCGTTTGGAATTAAGTTAACTACAATTGAATGAGCCCGATTTACACTTTTGAACAGGACACAGTCAGCAATGACGCATAATTGTAAACGCGAGAAGCGAGTCTCTCCCTTGTGTGAAAAATGCTTTGCGTATTCATTCGGGGCACATAGTAGATCGCAAAGGATCGCTTCGAGGACTGATGATGTGGAAAGTCTTGGGCGCCGGTTGAAAAAGACAACTGTGTAGATTAGCATGGTCATTGTTTGGCAGTCTCTGCCATGAAGACTTTGGTAAGGTGTAGATTACATGTCATTTTGATTTCTCCCTAAAACACATACAAGTGAAACCTATCAATATGATTTATACCTAAGATAAATACCGAGTGAACCATTTGGTGTCCACTGCGGAATTAGATTAGGTTAAAAGTAAATGACTTTTTGGTTTGCAAAAAGGTAATGCGGAACGCTCAAATTTTTAACTTTGATTTAAGTAGAGGTCAACTCTCTCACCAAATATGTATCATAGTTGGCGTTTACTCAGAATGGTTACGGGAGTGGTTATTGTATTGTGCATTAGGAGGCTTCTGACAAGTTTCATTAAAACTAGATTGACAAATTTTAACCAAGTCACATAAGACTTCACCGACAACCGTTAAAATCATGACAAACCATTAGCTTAAGAAATAAACGTTTGTCGCACATCTGTAAGCTTGCTACACATGTATGCGTTATTGATTATTTCATGAGTGCGATTGATGCACAGAATTTAGCTAGCAATAAAATTTCTTCCACTGGCATCCTGCAGTCTGAACCTGAAGCTAAAGGACATTTCAAAAACATATTCCAACTGCCACGTACTTCTACTTAGAGCATTCTTGTGGTATATAGGACGATCAAATTAGTACGGACAGTTATTGTGGCAAGTGACAAAGTCGAGTGCATTTCCCTGAGCATTAACAACCGAACCTCAAAGATGCGTGTGGTCCTTCCGTAATATGCCCGATATATTTTGCAGCAACCATTTTCAGGAAACTCATGCCTTCGAATTTCCAGTTTCTGTGGCCGCAATACAAACAAAAATGTTGGGGTTATTGTGTTGTCGCACAGACGTGGAGACGATTTGAGTGAAGCTGTGGTGCAAAACAAACTATCTGTCGCCTACGAAAACGCTCCCATTTGTAATAATGTATGAAAGTTGATGATATGCATTGCTTAAATTATTTTGGGAAATCGTTCCAATAAAATCAAACCATAAATTAGGGAAACTATCACCTACTCTATGGTGGAATGGAAAATGAATGAAATGGTGGAAATAAAAGAAAAAACTCGTATCTCGAGCAAAACGCTGCGTTCGTTGACCGTTGCAAGACACTAGCGGGTGAACATTCTGTTGCAAATCATTTCATTATTTTAAGTAAAAACGCGGAACCTTTGTGCACATATACGATAGATGTGCTTGAAAAACATGTGAACAATAATAATTTTTGAGTTTCTGTGGGGCTAAATGTCTTATGCTATCGATAAACCTGCTTTCTTATGTAAAATTAAGGCTTTTTCATCATCTTTAGTGGCCAAGTCTAAAACACAAGAGGACTTGAAAAGTAAGTCTGCGTTCAGTAGACTATTCTGGAGGAAACCATTTCAAAATCAGAAAAATTTTCCTATGTGGTATGATTTCAAGGATTGTTGCCGCATGATACATATTCCCTGGTAAAGCAGCCATTTGCCATAAGTCTTGAGAGTGAATAGATTCCCTCAGTATATTTTGGTTGGCGATTTGGTCTTAACTACAAACTTTTTGGGAGCTCTAAATGTCTGAAAGGTCAAGGCTCATATGGCATGCTTAGATTGTAAAACCTATCAAACTTTTGTCACTTGTCACGTTGCTTAGTTGCATGTAAAACATCATGAGATAAATGAATACGCAAGTGGGTCTGTTGTGCAGATTTGCTGCATTCATACGTCACACAGGCGTAGGGCTCTTGGCAATTGATGGAAAAAAATCTTCCAGGCTGTACAAATCGCATCAAACGTTTGATGCAGGCAGTGCCCAATCGAACTAATTAAAATGTTTCTTGAATGAGCCCTAATTTGCGGTGACTTATCACTTGTGCTCTCCAATGAACTTCATTTTCTTTTGCGCGGGGACTTACTTGCCTTCACCGATGGCCGAAAACAACGGATCTCACTAGATATAAACTTTAAATGTTTGATCTTACGTTCTTTAAAATCAAATCATATAAAAATTCGTTCCGTCAGAGAGAATAGTGTTTGTTCCTTCTGGGTTACCCAAATGGCGAAATACACGCAATCCTTTTGCGCGCATTTTGCCGTCTGGTGACTGTCACTAGGATGCGTTTTTCAGGTGCAACTATCATATCGCGTGGGTTCATAGATTCACAGGGTGTAAGTTTCCCATGAGCCAAATATGCGTCTGAGATAGTGTCAAATTTAAAGCCTTTGCATACACCAAAGCGATATAATATCCTAAAGGATACCTATCCCTCGGGTTTCACGCATGCCATTATGCGATATGTCGTAAAGTACATTTGACACCATACTTAAAAACGCATTATTTTATTATAAAAGTTGGAGAGTCGTTTCAAAGATCGAGCGGACACTCTGAAAAAGCACCAGGTGCGGTTTCTGTTTCTGAATTTTAATTAAAATTTGCGGTGACTGGGATGCTGTGGCTGGCTGGCCAATCTATTGAGAGGTGAGGTTTCTGGGTCGTTGTTCCACGTGATGGACTTTTCACTCACACCAGTCAAAGGTGAACATTTTCACGGTCTAAAACTTCACGTTCCCTCAACGGACGCTTGCGGATTAAAGGGAGCAAGCTTAATTTGTATATTACATTTGTGGGCCACATCCATGCACTTCCGAGTTCAACTTTTAAGCGCAAAACATGAAAACGTTGATTGCACTCATCCAGGATGTTTTTGATCGTTCATTAAATATGCAGTTCAGTCTCGTAGTTTGTTCCTCCCTAATAATGTAAATGCTGAGTTATTGCAGCATCAAATGACACTACTGTTTTGGTGCATAGACACTGTGTAAAACTTCTTAGTGTCCGGAAGTCCATTCTTCATATTCGCTGATTTTCCTGTTTTGTGAAAAATCGTTCGGTCTTGACGCAAACAAGCCACAAATTGCCTCTTAATGAGCCAAAACACGGAAAGTAAAACCCCCTTAATTTTACTTTGAAACATGCAAAACAAGTATTTCATAGCATTGCCCGCAAAATGGCATTTGTGTCACTTTAATATCAACGGAATTAACTGCGTGAAAAAATACCCAAAGCTCAATTGTTCAAGTTCAATTGTTTTGGGAATCGATTCGACGAAACTGAGTTGTCACACATATACGTGGGTGCCGGGGCACCATAGATCTCCGCGGCATTTTAACCCCGTCTATTCATCTGAAACGGCAAAGTTGCACGCCGACATCCCCTTTCAAATTAGGATAAGATTATCGCTATTCACAAAGACTTTCACTAAAATCGCTTAATACATATGTATGCAACAAATATTATTTCTGCGATTGAAATCGCGAAGTTTTGTTTTCAAAAACATTGAACGTCACTTTGATACCGAAAATCGCT